ATCAATCCCAAATCCCTAATTAAAACTACTCCCAACTCATAATTGAAGAATCAACAGAATTGGGATAAATAGAAATAATTGTCATTAATTAAAAAGATAGAACTTACAAAGAATTTCTAAGCTCATAAGTCAAAACAGGCAAAACAGGGGTCTATTTATAGAAAAATCCGAAAACAGGCCGAAAATCAGGCCGCACGGTTGACCGCACGCCGTGCGGGTACGCGCGCGTTTTCCCATCTCCGACTTTTACTCCGCCCGCACACCACCACACTATGCAAACATGCGGGTACTTCTGGGGGCTATTTCTGAACCGCGCGGTGTGCGGTTTCAGCCGCACAAGGTGCGATTCAGACCCCTTAACTTTTTGCTCTCAGAATCACCCGCGGGGCGTGCGGTACCGACCCGCGGGGGCGCGCAGACTGCTCTAGAACCGTTTTCTTGCTATTTTCTTCCCCGTTTGTTCCCGATCAATCCAAAAGCCCTGTCTACATCAAATCTTCACCGCGAATCTCTCGGTGGCCTCCGAAACTCTCAAATCTTTCTCGAAGGCTCTCTAACTCTTCCCAATTGCTTCTCAAGCGCCGGTGCCGGACTCTAAATTACTGATTTTGACTCCAAATGACACAAAACTCGAACCAACGCCTGGTAAACATAACTTGAGCCAAAATTGAGACTTGTAACACCTTAAAGCTAGGAAAATCATCAAAAGTCAATCCCAACACACCAAATGCGTGTCTAAATACGGACTTATCATTGAGGATAAGTCCTCTCGGTCTAAAAACCTAACATAGTCCCTCGAGCTTTCGTAGAATCTTTTTTGAATTTTATATCTTCTAATTATTAAGCAATATGAAGGCAAGAGCAATGTCGAGAAAGGAAATGTGGTAAAGTGGGTCAAGATGTTTTATGGACTTAGAACGACTACAGTACACCCTTACTGAGCCCGAATCACGACCCGTCTTCTACACTAAAAGATTACAGAATAACTAGAGAGAAATTTAAACTATTGAATGCAAGTTTGTCAATCCTTTACAATGAAATTATTGCAAGTATTTATACTACAAAGAAGTAGGTGTATGAGGCGACATATCGAGCCCTAAGTGGATTATGGATAGTCCCAACCATAAAATTCTCCATATCTAGCACATTAAATAAACTCCCCCCAATTCTTGATTTCCCGACAGTTGCTTGGTGAAGCTCTCCAAGGCATAATATATAGTTGCAGCAGAGAAATGACAATTGTCACGATATCCCCGACGGGTAGGTCTAGGGCGGCTTGGGGCGAACGAGCTCCCCCGCACCCTTGGTCGGACCTTGGGCTCTGTGTCAGTCGGGCTGCTAGGGGGGTATTTGGTCCTGCCTCTGTTGGACCCAATACTCGAACAAGAGTTCCTATACCGTGGGATCATCCCACGGTGAGCATCGTGCTCCATATCTGAAACTACGTAGTTTTGCACAATATTTTTAAAAAAAATTCGCGTGAACAGTAACACGTGAACAGTAACTTTTTTTTCTTTTTGACCCAGTAGCATGAATAATGTAACTCGCGTGTAAAGATATGTAACTCACGTTATTGATTAATGTAACTCAAGTCCATTCGAAATGTAACTTGTCAAATACATATTATAAGAAATAAAACATTGATTTCAATGTAAATAATTAAAAAAAAATGTCTAATTGCACAATTACTTTACGTAAATCGTGAATATGTTTTGTTTTTAATATCATGACCATCAAAAGAATTTAAAAAAAAATCATCCTATTTTTTGCTTTAATACCAGAGGTTGATTTTTTTATATAACTCACGTTATTATAAATGTAACTCACGTTGATGGCAAATGTAACTTAGTTGTATACAGAATGTAACTTGTTGGGACAAGTCCCTATGTAACTCGCGCTTCAAAAGATGTAACTCGCTTGTAAAAAAGATGTAACTCATACACATAAAAATGTAACTCACACACAAAAAGATATAATTTCATGTACTTCGTATTATCAAATGTAATTGTGAGAAGAACAATTGTATGAGAATCCAATAGTATGTATATGGGAAGAGAAACGTCTGAATAGAGTGTGAATCCCAAACAAAATGCATTTAAATAAGGAAGATGGAGGTATATATGAATGGATCTGAGATTTTAAGCTCTGTGTATCTTCTTTGTCTGCTAACATCCGTTTCTGTAATACATATGCACTGAGTATAAGAAATTCGATTCAGTAGGGATGTCCAGCAAGGAAGCTTCGTACCACCAAAGGAAATTTTTGGCCGCAGGGATGAAGCATACGCTGGACGGTTGGAGAAGACGGTGATTTTTTGTCAGCTCTGTTTTAATTAATACGGAGTATAAAACGCCGTCGTTTTGGGATCGGCACACCCTGCTCATGGTGGGCCGATCCCACGGTATAATTTGCGCTCGAACGATAATGCTAGAAAATTAAGAGTGAGTTTATCTTTTCATTATCCGTAGAATATTTTACAATTTATAACAAAAACTAATATTCTTCCAAACTTTCGCTATGTTTAGTGGTGGGTTTTCATGTTAATAAATTTTTTATAATAGTTGCATGTTGAATCTCATACTTCTCTGTCTTTCGGTCTTTTGTCTTCGTAAAATAATAAGAAAAAAAAATCACATTTCAGTCTTTATTTAAATTATCTCCCTTTTTACTCCTGGTTATTTTTTGTTTACTTTCTGTTCTTTCCTTATACTTTACTTGATTGTTTTTTAATAAAATTTGTTTTTTGGATTAAAGTTAAGTTTTCATTTGTAAATCTTGCATAGAGAAATCGTACTCACACCCATATCAGGCGAGGACCATTTGACCAATTTTCAATCTGGGTAAATGACTAACTAATTCTTCTTGGATTCTGAAACCGAGTCTATATGTTCTTCCGATGAGTAGAAAGCGAAAGAACAACATTTTTGGAAGAAACATTTATTTGAGTCCTAAGAATGTAATTACTTCTATATAGTATATACTTCCATAAGAATGTAAGTTTAATACATCTAAGCTTTAAAAAACTTTTAGAAGTTCATATTAAACCCACCTAAACATTTAAAATACACAAATTTCTATTTTTTAACCAACTCCATATACAATACATCCCTCTTAGCATAAATGTTTTAGAGAAAATTAAAGTTATTAACCTTTAAAATATGTGATTTATTCATCATTTCATTTTCATTTACCTCAGTGCCGCAAAGGCTCCCACCTACGGTGTTGTAAGGGAGGTCGTATGTACGCAGTCTTACTCCTGTACTAACGCACAGAGAGACTGTTTCCGGATAACCCATAGTCAAAATCACGTCCAAAATTGCATGGACTGACTGCTGTTTCATAACAAAGAAGTGCAGACAATTTAGTGAGCGATTTTGCTTTATTCCATCATATTCTCAAGCCAAAAAATAATGGATCTTTGGCTCCTTTGCAAATGATGGAAACATGTGATTTATTCATGTGACATATAATTTAAAAAGCCAAAATCAAATTGAAACACTTTAGAACATATCATTTCCACTTTAAAAGTGCTTAAATTTACATTAAGCACTTCCACAAAAATTTGATTTTGAATTATTTTATATAAAAATCACTAAAGTAAAGTTTTTTTTATATAAAAATATTACTAAAATAAAACATATTCACACAAACATAAGTACTCCCTCCGTCCCAGAAAATTCTTCCAACTTTCCTTTTTGGGATGTCCCAGAAAATTCTTCCAACTTCACCTTTTTGATTATTTGTGTGGCTCACATTCATTTCACCTTTTTCTTACACAACTACAACCACACATTTCCACTTTATTCCCACTTTCTTAAACTCCGATCCAAGTCAAACTTGGAAGAATTTTCTGGGACGGAGGAAGTATTAGTTACTACAATGTAGTGTTATAGTAACTTAAGTTTAAAAATTAAACTTAAGATTACTATGATTTCATTACTACTCTAGTCAGTAATAACATTTTTTTAAACAATCTTCATTTCAGTCTTAAATATGTAATTATTTCTAAAATAAAAGTGAAATATAAGACATATCTCCTCAAAAAAAAGTGAAATATAAGACACTTCTTCCCAAAAAAGTGTCATAGTTTCCTTATCAAAATATGACTGGGTCATTTGTGAACTTTTGATTATTTTATTCTTTTAAGATTACACAGGATGTTTTTACTTGGACTGTAAATCGTCCCATACCAGATCAGACCAGATTAGACCAGACTTGGATAGTTATAAAAATATAAAAAAACCAGATCAGAGCAGACCGGAACAGACCAGCAAATTAAGTTCCAAGTAAAAATAATTTGAAGCAAAGGCACCCAAACCCATTAATTAACTTCGTATCCTAAGACCATTTGTAGTGGTGGAGAGTCTAAATTGTTAGATTTGGACTCCGTCCATATGAAAACGGTGTTTAGACTCCGTCAATACTGTTTTTTCCCGCATTCGTGCACCGTCAATAAAATACACTCTGCATATTTTTTACCTATCAATTTAGTAAAACCTTAATTACATTATTATAAAAAATATTTTTCTTTTAATTTTTTTACCTAGATAATTATGAAGTAAAAGATACGCATTCCGATGTAAAAAACTAAATTTCACTAACTTTTTTAAACGGTTTTTGGTTAACAAAAAAGAACTTAGTTAAAATAAAATTCGATTATGGAATATTCACTTATTATTTGTGAAGGCTTAATGAATTAAAAATTTGTGTTTCGTGTTTTTTGGGTTCAACAAAACTTCAACAATTAAAATTTATTTATTTATTTTTCATTTTATATATTTCATATTGGTGTCATATGAAAGATCATAAAAAATCATGAATTTTGATATATTTTTCGAAGAATTTGGAGAAAAAATAAAAAAGTTATAAGAGTTTAAAATTAAATGGGATTTTAATGACACAAGCGTGACATCATCATGACGTCAGCAGAACCAACACCAACGCGCAGCGGCCGCTTTTCTTTTTCTTTTTTTCTTTTTCCTTTTCTTTTCTCCTGTCAACTGCACCCTCCATTTTTAGACTCTTCCACTCTCTTCCCACTTTTACTCCCTCTTTTAATCTCCCACTACACTCAATTAAGAGTCTAAAAATTCCATATTTAATTTTTTGACTCCTAATGTGTAACCCCTACAAATGGTCTAATACGCATGAGAACTGAGAATTTTCGGGTTATCAAGGTCCAAGAGCACATCCTGGAGGCGGCGTTTGGAAAAGGAGAAGCAAGCGTAGGGCAACGGCTTTGTTGGCTTCACTTCGGTCAGTGGTTAATTAAGCTTTTATCTGTGAATCAGCCTGTATTTTGTTGCTCTTCTACTTCATGAGAGACAAAAACTCAGCCAACACAACACAACCATCTGGTGAAAATGATTTTGGCGGAGTAGGAGATTTTGGAGATGAAAATGTAAAAAATCTGTCAGAGGATAATGATGCTTCCAATAAACAGATTAAGTGCTCAATTGATAGCCTCAATGCATTGCCAGATTGCTTAGTTATTCACATCCTTTCTTTTCTGGATTTGGAGGAAGCTGCAGTTACGAGTGTTTTGGGTAAAAGATGGAGATACCTTTGGGCAGAGTTGCCCAAGCTTGAATTCTATTTCTGGGGGAACAGTGATGAGGGAACTAAGAAAATAAGTGACTTTGTGGCTAGGGTTCATAGGACCCTTGCTACTCGTAAGGGGAAGTATCTGGAGAAGTTGACAGTTAGATTCCCCTACCGCGAATGTTTTTCATCCGATGTTGATAACTGGGTTGAGTTTGCGTCAAAAAACAAGGTGAAAGAAATTTATTTTAACCTAAGCTCCACCGAAGATCTCTATACTCTTTGTGACATGATGTATTCATACCCTTCCTTGACATCATTGTCGTTGGGTGGATGCATTTTGAATCCTGAAAGAAAAATTGAGTGGCAGTCTTTGACTTCATTAGAGATTTCAAATGTGGATTTGCCTCAGCGTGTGGTGGAAAAAGTACTATCCTGTTGTTCAGTTTTGAATAGCTTGAATCTGCGGGCTTGTTGGGGATTTACTTGTTTGAAGATAAACTCACCAAATCTTTGTAAGCTTCGAGTGCATGACTCTGATGAAGAAGAAAGTGAAGATTTCCTTGAGATCTCAGCACCCTATCTAAAATCTTTGGTTCTTTCATTGTATCCTATAGAAAGAAAGTTGAAGCTCACTAACCTTTCATCTCTTGTTAGTGCTCATTTTAGATTCGCTGGATACACTTGGGATCCAATGTATGAGGATGTCCTCGGTAATACGAAAGAAATCTTTGAAAACATTCAACATGTCAAGGAGCTTGAGCTTGGTCATGAGCTCCTAGGGGTATGCATTGTGAAATCCATGATCTTTTAGCCAAAATTCCCCAAAATTATCTGAATTGATTATTTAGCTTCTCCCCTGTACCAGTTTTTGTTTATAAATGTTTTTCAATTGGGATGGGGTTATTGGAATTTATTTGTCAAATGATTTTTCAACTATGTCATACAAGAGTTGGTTGTTTATTGTGTACAAGACAGATATGTCCATGGAATTGCTGAACCTAGTGTCCTTCAGCTAGTTAGTATCACATCTGCCCTAAAAAAAATTCAGTCATTTTGGTATAAATGTAAAAACAAAAACTTTATTTTGGTTCACTGTTTAGGATTTTGTTACTCCATTACTTATGAGTTTAAGAAAGAACAATTTCACTTTTGTCTACATACTTGCATCATTTCAGGAAATGAAAAAAACGGGGTGTCCCAAAGTTGAAAGTGAGACATTATTTTGGGACATATGGAGTATATGAAGATAGGTTTCCTTTTGTGCATGGCAGTACAAAACTTATCCATAACAGAATCTCTTATGAATTTCACCATGACAAATACTATGTTAGAGTTTACTTTCTTGAGTGTCAAGAACAAATCATGTTATTAAAGTGATTTGTCATGTGTGGCATAAATGTGTATATTTGCAAGTAGATCTTACATTGTATATTCTGTATATATTTTTCTGTGACATGTATACTAGGCTATAGCAGCATTGGCGCTGGATGCTAGTTGGCAGCTTCCCAGATCTACACGAAAGAGTTTGAAAATAAATACGTTTATTGATGGTGAGGATTATGTTACTGCCATTGTAAGTCTGCTTGAATCTTCTCCTGATCTGGTGGCGTTGGTCATAGATTGCGATGATCCATCTGGGGTAAGTAGGCATGTTTGGGATAAATAATTATTCATTCAGTTTCATTTTATGTGGCTAACACATGCAGTATTCTTTTTGTAATATTTCAATATACTACCACACTTACTCTTTATCAGGATGTTGTTTTCTTATGGATCTTTGCTTAACTCAATTTTCCTAACTCTTGTTTAGTTCAAAAGATAGGGTAGGGATGGGGGTGGAGGAGGTTTATAAAATATTATACTTGTTTCTCGAGTCAGGATGAAGTAGTGTTTTAGAAATAAATGTGAAAATCTCATATATATATATATATATTTTGGTTCAGGTGAGAAATGCATCTAATGTGAGAAATGAGAATGAATCTCAGCAATTGGATTTACGAAGTTGCACTAAAATTGGCTTTATGTTGCAGTAATATTTAAATTTTGCACATGTTGCACTAAAACTGTTTCATGTTGCACTAATATTTGACGGCGTTGCACCGAAATAGCTTCATGTTGCACTAGATACGTGTAATACGGATTTTTCAGAAGTATTTACAGAAGTGCCACCGTGCTAGATTGCATATTTCAGTGCATCATGAAGTGTCTTTTACTGCAACTTAGTCGAATCCAATGGCTGAGATTCATTCTCATTTCTCACCCAAAGGGTTCTTCTCACTTGAACCTTACCCTATATATATATATATATATATATATATATATATATATATATATATAGTACTGTAATTGAATATATATGGGTCTAGATATATACACATAATAGTGTACACCAATTTTGTTTTGAAAATAAAGGTTGAAAGAAACTACTCCCTCCATCCCAAAATGATTTGCAAAGTTTTTTGTTCTTGGTCAATATAGTTTCACATTATCTACTTATTAAGCATATTAATATTTTATTATGTTTGTATCTTGTATTGAAGGTAAGCAGTGACATGTAACCTTAAATAAGTTCAGCGTTCTAACAAGTTTTAGCTAGCCATTGAGCGAGTAACATATTGGGGCCGGGGACTGGATTCTAAGCGGGGTCTTTGAAAAAATATAAGTGGCTAATGGAAGTGCCTATGCTGGGAATTTTAGAGTAGAGGCTTCTACGCATAAGCTAAAGAGATATCATTTAACTACGGAGTACGATATTTATGAAGATCAATCCAAGATTTGGTTATTTGATGTTTGAATTTCATGATTAGCTTAGATTTGTTGTCTTTGTAGGTGGAGGATAGTTGGGAACCACCTGCAAGGGATGATTTAGGGTGTGACTTATTGCACCTGAAGACGGTTGAGTTGATTGGCTTGGCAGATGCAGTTCTTGGCGGTGAACCATTGCTTACATTGGCACGAGTCATTCTCAAGAGGGCAACAGCCTTAGAAAAGATGTCAATTTTGGCAACTACAGAAACTACAGAAGAATTTGTCAAGATAGGTCAAACCTTGCTCACTTACCCGAGATCCTCACCAAACGCAGCCATTGACTTCCTTTAGATCATTGCTTTTCTGTTTTGTTTTGATATTCTTCTGATCTTAATCAAATGTCCAGCATAGCGTATATATATTTAGACATGAAATTATATCATGTCTTTCATGCATCACCTTGGATGTGCTTCTTAGTATATGTGAACACTTGTTTTCTTTTTTTCTTTCTTTCCTTGGTAGAAACATTAATCTTGAAGTGCACACTTGCATGTAAGTAAATGTAACTCACATTTAAAGATCACTATAAAGCTGGTTTCGAGTTTTTTTCCAGTTATTTGGCTGGAGTCGTGTTCATATTGCTCTCATGTTATTTGTTTGAGATTGCTTGTGAACTTGTAAAAGATCCAACTACGATTCATGTGATCCTACAAACTTCTGTTTACTACCAATACTACGTGTGTGTTTTATATTTTACTAGTATTTTGTCTGTGTGATGGATGCCTGAAATCTAAATATTCTTGTGTTTATTCTATTTTTATAATAAATGACTAAGGTAAAAGATTACTTCTAAGGAAATTGAATAAACATATCGTAATATTGAAATAATAACACGGCTCATATAATATTTAGTTCCCTAGCTATATCGACTTATATTAAAAGTAAAAGTAAGGGAAAGATAAATTATATTCCAAACTTTATATAAAAAGTTATACTAATTCCGTAATTAAATAAGTGTAACAGTCAACTTTTCACATTTGATCATTGATATATTTAATTCTCTATTATTAAAAATTCAAATTCTGAAAATTTACTTTGAGGCAAATTTAGCAATATTCTAATAAAAATAATTTATCAAAATATTAATAAATAAAATGTAATTAAAGTAAAACATATGAACTATATAAAATTCAACATGTTGCACTTATTTAAAAACAAAGAAAGTATTAGCACCGAGATCATATATTTTTTCACAAATACTTCCTCCGGTCCTAAATAAAATTCATAGTTTGACTTTAAGATTTTTAAGAAAGTGAAGTTTTTACTTTTGACTTTCCCATCATGCCCCTACAAAAAGGTGATAGTGTGGTGGGAGAGAGAAAGTGAGTGTAAAGTGGGTAATAAAGTAAACGTATATGAGTAACTTTATGTTAAAAACTTCCCAAAAATAGAAATGTAAAGTTTATTTTGGACCATCCCAAAAGAGAAAGTGTGAAGTTTATTTAGGACCGGTGGGTGTAATTTTATGATGTTGAATACATATTTTAAAATATACAAAATATTTATGAGGATGCAACTAAAATTAATTTAAACCATGTTGAGGTTTATTCCTTCAACCCTCGGGTCCAACACGTAAGCCCAAGGATTTCGAGTGGAGTGTGTGTAAATAAACTAGCCCAACAAGCAGATAATAGGGGTCAAGAAACAGTAAGGTAGCAAGTAAATGATTAGGTATTATTATCTCTTAATAACTCCCTAATACAATACTCTTCGCTAAGGCTCCGTCGGCCGTTCGTCTTACAGGGCAGTAGAAGTGCTGCGAGTAAGAATGCTATAACTAGAGTGCTAAGAATAGAAAGTTGCCAACCCTTTTCAATGAAATAAATGCTTCTATTTATACCCGCCAATGGGCAGGTGGCTGTGCTGACGTGGAGGTCTGTGGACCGCTTGTGCCCCAACCACCAAATCTTCAGCATTAAATGCACTTCCCGCCAGAATCTAGGTTTCCCGCCTAAATAATGGGCACGTTCGTCCGCCAGGGAAGCGAGCTGGATCGCTCCAAGTGATCCCCAAGAGGTTCCGGCTGTTCATCTCCTGGCCTTGTGGATTCTCTCCATGTGGACTGGATTTCCTCGGATGACTATAGACTCGTCATGGGGACGTTCGTTGTCATCCGCTGGGCCTGAGCTCCCAATCCCAGACGTTCGTCTCTCCCCAAGGAATGTGGGCCTGCGGGCTGGCCTTGTGGTCTGACTGGACGTACGTCTGGTGAAGGAAGGGTTAGTGGGCCGGACCTCGGCTTGGGCCCTTAACCCAACACAAGTCCCCCACTTCTGATGTTCTGAGCATGCGCAGGACATAAGGAAGTATGAATCTCCTCAAAGTAGACGTTCGTGTCTTGATACTTGTGTGTATCGCATCCGGTGGAAGCGTACGCTCGTGGTCATGGTGCTTAACAGCTGTCGACGGTTCAGGAAACGAGGTGACGGCTGCTGTAGCGGCGGTGCATTTTCCAAGGAGATGTCATCATTACGCCTTCGCCCCACGCACGGCGCGTGAGGCGGAATACGCTCCCTGCCACGCGTCAGCCTCCCGTTGGCTCCCCCACCGGTGTTTCTCCTATAAATGCCGGTTTTTCCCTCTGGATTAGGGTTCCCAATTTCTGCTCTCTTGTCTTCGAATTTCCGCAGCTCTTCAAGTCTTCTCCCGCTTCCAAGTTCGGCTAATCCTTCTAAGGTAATTCTCATCTTCTGCTTCTCTTTCTTGTCTTGAATTCTTGCCGCGATGGTTTCGATGGAGATCTCGTCAAGTTCTGGCTCGGGCTCATCGGGTTCCTCCTCGGGCTCCTCTTCCGATTCCGGCTCCCGCTCTTCGGGAGAAACTAGCACTTCCGGTAGTTCTGGCTCGGCCCCCACCGTGGGAACTGTTCAGGCCGGGGAAGCCCAAATTGGTGTTGTTGCGACTGTCCCTGGTGAGGAGGGCGCTGATTCGGGGGAGCACAATAATATGGTTCTCGATGTGGTGGATACGGCGGCTGATGTCGGGGAACAGGAGTCCGCCAGCGAGGACGGTCGTCCGGACGGGTATGACTCCGGGGTCGAGGCGCAGGATGGCTCTGACATCGAGGTATTTGAACTTGGGCTAAAAATAGATGTGGAGCGGCATCTATGCCCAATCAAGAACGTCCTCTGCCACGAGCAGGTTTTCTCGCAGGTGGCCCTCAACAAACTGAAGGTGTTCTTCCCCCCTCCGTCCGTATACAGCCTTCGTGGCGCAACCCACGTGATGAGGAGACGCCCAGGAATGGTTATGGTGCTTCTGGACTCCATCGAGGTCGGGCTGCGCTTCCCTCTTCATCCGTTCTTTGTGGAATTCTTCTGTTGTTACCAGATAGCCCCCGCACAGCTTATGCCGAATTCCTATCGGTTCGTCTCCGCCTTCCTAGTCCGTTGCAAGGACAATGGGGTCACCGCCACTTTGGACTTGTTCCATTACTTCTACCGGCTTACCCCCCAAAATTCCGATGGTTTCCTGAGCATTGCAGCTCGTCCGAGACGGAGGCTGTTCAGCGGAGCACCGAGCTCCATCCATGGTTGGAAGAATCGGTTTTTCTTCGTACGGTACGCGGATGCTCGTCTGCCACTACGGTGGAATGGCTATCCTCCCAAGATAGGGTCCCCGGAGCTGACCGTCGATCTGGAGGATGGCATTAGGAAGATCTCAACGGGCGGCGTCCAGCCCTTAGACGACTTCCTAACTTTTGAGGCACTTGCCGCGGCAGGAATAGGTACCGCCCATACTCTCGGGCATCTTCCCTCCTACGCTCGTCTCGGGGTATCGGGCGGTCCTGACCTCCGAGGTGAGTTATTCCTGACGCTCGTCCATCTAACACATTTCCCATTTTCCTTTCAGGTCTCCCCCCGACCCAAGAACAAATGAATCACGAGAAGCTCCTCAGGACGAGGAAAGGCAAAGGCGCTGCTGCTGACGCTGCCCTTGCCAAAGCCAAGATCGCCCAATCAGCAGATTCCAACTCCTCCGCCTCCCAGGCCGACCGTCGCACGGCGGAGGCGGAACAGCACCTCATTGCCACGGTGATGGCGCAAGGGTCCCAGGCCCCAATCCTTACTCCTGGCGTTCCTGAGGTCGTGGCACCTCTGCAGGCCGTCCATCCCCATGAGGGAGAGAAGGCGAAGGACAAGAAGCCCAAGAGGCCCCGGGGGGCTTCCTCTTCGGCCCCCGAAGAGCAGGAGTTGATCCCTTCCTCCCTTGGGCGTCCGGCTCACGATGTCTGGCAGGAGATTGCCTCCCTGGTCGGCGTGGAAATGCCTCCCCGGACGTCTTCGGAGGCCTCCAACGCGGTTCTGGCCGCCGCTCTCCAGGTGAGACTTCGCCTCTCGCTGGGCGGTGGATTTCCGTATTCTGTTGATTTGAAGTCTCACCCTCTGTGTCTCTTTTGCAGGTTGGACTCTCTACGCTGCAGGCCGAAGCTGCTCGGGAAGCCGACGCCCTTCAGGCCAAGAACAAGGCAGATGCGGCTTTGAAGAAGGCGAGAGAGGCCGCTCGTCTTCAGGAGAAAGAGCTGGCGGCCAAGGACAAAGAACTGCAGGCCGCCCTGAAGGTGGCCCGCGAGTCCTCCGCGAAGCTCGCGGTTCTGGAGAAGGCCGGGTTCAAGCTCGTCCCAGTTCTCCCTGCTCCCAAGGATGAGGCTCCTGAGTGGCTCGTCGATGATACCGGGTATCATAACTCTGGGGCTTTCATGATCGCCGCCCAGAGGTATCTCGGTGGCGCTTTCGGCGATGTATTCGCCGCCGAGCTGCAGAAGCAGGCGCCGAAGGATCGGCTCAAGTTTGGGGTCTGAGTTCTAGAGAGTGCGCCCCTGGCTGAGAAATTCTTATATGATGTTGGGGACAGCTCCTTCGTCATTGGCTACAACGAGGGGGTGAAAGCCACACTGCCGGTCTTTGCCGCTCTTCAGGGCCCCCGATTTGATCTGGCCGAGCATACTTCAGACCCAGAGCTGATCCGGACAGTGGGCAAGCTGAAACGGGACGCCCGGCGGGAGGAGGCCAGAGCCAGAGGGGAGGTCCCGGAGCCCCCGTCCCCCGAGCCCGAGCCCGAGGAGGAAGAAGAAACCATCCCTGGGGGATCCCGGCCTGTTTCTCCAAATTTCGTGTAACGTAGCTTGTAGTTTCCTTGTTTTGATCCTGTACTTATCCGGCCAGCAGAGCCGAGGAATACACAACTCTTTTGCTCTATCATTGTCTCTACGTTCATGAACTCTTCCTGCTTTCTTTTATCGCTAATACTATCTTGCTCTCGTGGGGTATACGAACGTATGCTTTGGAATACCCTTCCTACGCAAACCGCTCCCCAAGACGCACGGGATGTGGCCGTAATCTCCTGGATCAGTTGGTGAAGATGTCCGTCCCGTGGTTATGGCATAACCGTCCAGGCTGCGCGTGCCCAACTACACTTGGTGGGGAGACGTTCGTCTGCAGGGAGATGTGGGGATATAGATGCACTCCTCAGAAACAATGCCTTGATAGAGAAGTCCGTCGCGTTAGGAATATCATAATCCTTCTCGCGTGTTGCGGTGGTACGAAGTGTTGAAGT